GTCTGAAGCATTGATCCACAGTATTACTGTTGCTGCAGCTTCTCACAATCAAAGACAGTATTATAATGGTAACTTATTTTCTGGGTGTAAATGGATAGTAGCTAAAACCAAATTTCTTTTCACCTGTATAATCAAAAAAAATATTATTTGGATTCCTAGAGGTGAAAGGAGGCAAGCTGAAACTTCATCTTTGAAGAGAAAATTTCAGAGGCAGTTTGTCACTGTCATGTCATGGAGCAGACACCTGTCAGACTGTATTACAAATCCAACTTTCTTATTCCTCGAGTTACTCAATTTGCAAATTGAGACCTCTCTGCTTTGTTAAAAATTATCACTGCTCATCCAAAAACCCTAAGTGTTTAAAAGTATAAGGTGACAGCTTGAATGCTTGGGGATGTGGACTGTCCTTATAAGGACAAATTACCTTTCTGCATGTCACATTCAAATGTTTGGCTGCCTATCATCTACATGGGAATTTAGTCTGATAGGTCTTTTTAAATCTCTGAGAGTTGAGAAATTATGAGTGAAATGCACAAAAGGTATTTGAGGTTCAATTTTACTTTGTGTGCATCTTTTACATAGAAAGCCTCAAATGTCTCTGATTCCAAGTATTCTAAGTGGAAGATATTACCAGAGGTAATATTTATTCTAAAATAAGGAGTTGTATTGATTTTCCCTAAATAAGGAAATCTCTTTTTTTAACTAAATGTACATATTAATCTATTTTCTAGCTTAAATCTGCATTGTTAAAGGCTGTTAAAGGTTGGCGTCTTTATTTATTTATTTAACATATGTGTCAAGCAGAGAGAAATAACTGGTGAGTGAGTCTGGCCCATCAGTCAGTATCACATTTTATAAATTCATTAACCAATGCAGGAACATTTGCTGGTCTTATGGGAATGAAAGTGTGCATGCCTTTTTGTTATTAACGTTAAAAACAGCTATTCCTAAACGCTAGGTATTGATGATATGGATGCTCCTGTGGCAATAAAAATGTGTTTTCTCATTCTCATTTGTTTGATTTGTGTGTATTTTGGTGTAGCTTTTCTTGCATTTTTGTTGAGATAGATTATAACTTTTAGTAGTATTGATGTCATTCTTGGTGAATATACCCCATTAGCTAGGTGCTGTTCATCAGTGGGCATTCTGCTTCTATACTGTGCTTTATACATTTTTATTTTATTTTTGAAGTAGATTGCTCTCAGAGGGGAACAGCTTTGATCTCCTGACACATACCACCAAAAATTCCATAACCCACCGGGGCATATGAGAACCACATCTTAAATTTTGCTTACTGGCCTCCTTTTCTAGTTCAGCTTGAGAACTGAACATTTTTTCAAGGAATATTCAGCTAATGATTGTGTTCAGCTCCATGCCAGCTGTGGTTTCTTCCTTCATGGCTCGAATAAAGGAGTGGAGGAAGCAGTTCTGACAAGCCTGAAATACCCCTGGTTTTAGCTGTTATGGAAAAGACAAGCTCAGTACGTTACTCCTTTCTCTCCAGATCTCCAAGGTGTGATGGCCTGATCTCCTGATCTCCAGGGTTGTTTCTTAGTCCCTTACTGAACTCATTTGGCTATGAGTTTATGTATGTGGAATCTGTTAGGGCCTTTTTTTTTTTTCCCTTTTTTTAGGGTCAAGCTGTTATGGAAAAGACAAGCTCAGTACGTTACTCCTTTCTCTCCAGATCTCCAAGGTGTGATGGCCTGATCTCCTGATCTCCAGGGTTGTTTCTTAGTCCCTTACTGAACTCATTTGGCTATGAGTTTATGTATGTGGAATCTGTTAGGGCCTTTTTTTTTTTTTCCCTTCTTTCTAGGCTCATACAGTCAGTACCTATGGGTCCTAACATTTCTCACATTAAATATAAGTTCTCTGCAGATTTCTTCACTCCAGGCCTACCTGTAGATTTAAAATAGACATTTGTTTCATCTTATTTTCAGAGTTCTCAAGGACTTTTTATACACGTATATAAATTTGGGAAGATGATGAGGTAAAAGTTATAGCATGAAACTGGTTTGGTCAATTCACAGTTTTAACTATGAGTAAGTTTAATGAAAACTCCTAGTGTTTGTATCCAGTCCTGCCTGATGCTAGGCAGTCCCAAAGGACTTCTCCTTAATGCTTTCAGAAATAGCTTATAATCTCATCAAGGCCCCCAGAGGAGAGATGTTTGTCCAAATCAGAAGAAGAAAAGAGGAGGAAAGTGGAAGGGAAGGTCTATTGGCTTTGTCAAATTATTTCTTAATACAAAATTTGGAACTAGAGGCAGACAACATCATTGACTGTTGAGTTCCAAGTAATGGATATACAATATTATATGACAACAGAAAGGATTTCATTAAATTACAAGTGATTTCATAGGCTTTACTGAAGCCGTGAATGAATCAAGGAGGTGTGGAGGAGTTTGGAGTGCATCGTTCTGTATTAGCTTTTTCTGAAAATCACAAATTTCTGCTGAATAATCTTGAGCAAAGGTGCAAAGTAGTGAAAAATTGGGATCCCTTCCTGCTTGGAAAATGAAACTAATTTGCTTCTGGAGCATGATTCATGTTTAAAATGTGGTAGATCTTCCTACTGAGGTCTTTTCTCATAATCGTTAATAATATTTGTTTTGCCTAGTTTTGAGATCTTGTAGGCTGTCATTAAAAGAAGCCCTCCCCTTTGCATAGAGATCCATCCAAGCCACCTGTTCCTAAATGAGGAGATGTGTGGTGGGGTCTAGCAGAGTTCAGTTCACCAGCTTTTTCAGACACTGTCTGAAATTGCGATTGCAGGAGCACATTTCACAACTGCCATAAAAACCTACTCAAAAAGGCAACAGACCTGAGCGTCATCTATAGTGTCGGTAGGGAGTTGTCTGCTTACATGTAATTTTACAAATTTTTCAGCTTAATCAGAGATTCATATGAAATACATTTCACACAGAGACATTGTGTGAATTTTCAGCACTCTCTGGGGGGGGCGTAAATGGATTACACTCATTCATATGCAATTTATTTCTTTTTGTTGGTGGTTTCTTTCTTTCATTAAATCACCAACATTAATTCAATACAGGTTATGTGCGCATGCTCGTGATATTTAACTCCTTCCGTGTTTCATTATGGAAAACTAAATGAGTCAGAGGAGGGAGGCTGTGGTATGTGGTATTCCCAAGAGATCGATTCCCAGTAAAGTGAAGGACATGTCACGCGCACTCTTGGTGTTGGTTTTGGTTTTGACACAAAGCCAGAGGAGTAGCGGGGCTGTTTGCTCGCTCTGCTTGCGTGAGCTGCACATCACACACCTGCAGGCCACAGTGGTACAGACACAATGCACGGCCCCCTTCCTCCCTGAGTCACCGTCTTTATGAATATGGCACTCAGAAAATAACTGGAGATGGGGGCACTCAGAAAGTGACTGACTGTTCTAAGGCCGGAGAGTATGGGGGAGAAAGAACTGAGACCAAGTCTACTTCCTGACTGCCCTTATCACTGTAAAGTCCCTTGCAGCACCTCTTTAAATTACTACATATATGTAATTGATTTCCCTTATGAAATAGCCTACTGGATATGAAAAGGAGACCTGAATACTACAGACAAAGACCAGGGCTCGGTGCTATGTGAAAATTCATTCTATTCAATCTGTCCACTGTGTAGCAATGAAGACAGAAGTTGTAATGAGATTCCTTGAGTGTTTTTTCTTATGTGATCTGGGCAGACTGTAGTGTTATGTAGCCCATTTGAAGAATAAGAAATGTATGCAGACCAAAATGCCCTGGAAAATTGTATGTTTTGAGTGTGTTCTTGGAAGGCGGAAGGCTATGGCTTGAAGTGGAGTAAGAAGAAGCATGTTAGTGAATTAAGGAGAGGGGATAAAGAAGGAGGCACACAAGGGAAAATCAAGAAGCAAGCACAGAGAGAAAGATGGGAAAAGCAATTGGCCTAGTGCAGCAGAAGGTCATTGTGGTTAGCAGAGAAGGGGTAAGTGGAGACCAGCTGCAAAGGAAGTACAAAGAAGGAGAGGACGTATAGGTGTCAATATTGCTTAAGTTCAGATCTTAACATTGCTTATGCTCAGATCTTTGATGCTGCAAGTAGAGAAGCATGTGTAGGGCTCAGTTTTCATATATGTCGAGCCATATGCCCTAGAGCTGAATTCTGAATTCCTTTTTTATTTTGTAAACACAGATTAGGTGGATAAGCCATTTTCTTCAATATTATATCATTTCTTATGCCAAAAAAAAAAGTTTAGTATATTACATGCTTTTTTTCCCCTTAGGATTTTAATGGACTCTTTTGCTTTCATTGGTTATTTTTGTACCCACAAAATAACATTTGTTTTTTAGTGAAGATACACAGAGCCGTCACTTAAAAAAAGTCTATTCCTATGTCTAGGAAAAAATATTTCAAGCCTCTTTTTTCAAAGAAATAGACCTGATTTCAAAGTCTATTTTTTTTTAACATGCACAGTTATGTGGAGTAACTCGGACTTCAGTAGTGACACTAGTCTGAGGGGGAAAAATGATATCACAAGAATGGAAACAAATATGTTCTCTCACTCTGGTCATGAGGCTTTTAATTCCACACTTGGGGAAACAGCAGGATTTACTGGGGTCAGTTGTACTCCACTGGGATATGTATTATTAAAGTGTGTATATATGTGTGTGTAAGTGTTGCAGGGAAGAGTAGAAGGTCAGAATATACTTTGCAGTTTTATTGCATTACATTAGATTTACCTTTTAAAACTTATTTGTTGTCAAAATCAGACATAAAGCAACCCCCCAACACATGTATTTACTCCATAAATATTTAAATAGTTGCATTTACCCTTCAAGTGCAGTATGTATTTTTATTGTGAATAGGAATAGGAAAATGACCATACAGATTTTTTTTTTCATTTAGAAATTAATTTTACATATTTTTCCCTTTGGGATTTTAGGTATTTTAAGTTTTATAATTGTCTTTTGAGTTACTTTCAAGACCTTTCTCACAGAACTTACACACAGTATCTTTTGCTACATGTGTGACGTGCGGCCCCGATCTCCTTCCCTGTTTTTCGGCCTTGCGTTCCTTGCTCCCCGTGTGCGGAAGCGGGGCCTGGTGCTCTTCTGTAGCGCAGCTGTTTGTGCTCTGTTGCCGGAGCACGGCGCTTTCAGAGTCTGCAAAAGGGAAACTGGAAAGCCTCCTTATGGCTGGGGAGAAGGGCCTGTTGGTTGGGCTGCAGGGGGGAACGGGTGTTAGCGCAGACTGTCCGCGTTGGCGCTGGGAACCGGCCTACTGCAGGGCCTCGAAGCGTGAAAGTGTAAAACTGCTTTTATGTGTATAGTCACTCCCCATCTTGTGCTCTGTGTTTGAAGGCGCTTGTGTGGTGTGCTCCTTTGAAATTCTCTTCAGAATCTGCTAAAATAATTCAGGATTTAGAATCACTTCCCTGAACGCTAAGGTATTTACTGCTGGCTTACAGAAATGATGTGGAACTACTGTCAGGCTAAAAGCTCACACCTTTAATGATGTATCAACAGTGGAGTATTAGTACTGTAATATAAAATATCCAACACAGTTACACTTAAGATTTTTATTATTATTATTAAAATGGAAACAGCACTTTTTTTTGTATGTGTGTACATATCACTTAAGGCTGGACAAAGTTGAGATAAATTGTAGTATATACTACGTATAAAAGCAGTAGACAGATTACTTTTCTTTGTCCATATCCTGTGTTCTTCTTTCTGCCTGCAGATTTTGAGCCCCAAAAGCAAAATATAATGGAATATTTTAAAAAAAAATTTTTTCTTTCTTCCTGAACAATTTACACTGATTGGATTGCAGTCTGAATTTTCCATTTAGCTGCTGTTGCTTTGAGTAAAACAATTACTTTTTATTAAAAATGTCAATTCAAATGATTATTTAAAACTGGTTTAAATAATAGAAAAAAAAAGAAGATAAAACTCTTTGCTGGTTTCTGTTTGCACAGGATTCTGTGCTATGGAAACTGGACATTATTTTATTGAAATGATTCTTTTTTAATTGGTATTAATGAAAATTGCACGTGTGCATATAGGGAGGATACAATTACCTACGGTCCTTAAACTGTCCTGATGCACATGTGTAACTTCCATTACTGTTAATGGGAGCTGCATTGCTCTTAGCGGTGAGAACGAATTCTCCTAAGCCCAGATTGTGGCTGACCCTTTGTGGATGTGGTAACATAGCACTTCCTTGGCTTGTGTGCAAAAATGGAGAGTCCTCAGTGCTTAAAGCAGAGCTTGGACTCACGGGCTGAGGTCTGGGTAGGGCAGAAAGGGTTTTAGCTACTTTGGTGGGGAGAAACTTGAAGAGAAAGTTCTCATTTTCACACCTTAGCTACCTCCCTTTTCTAAAAGGCACTAGTGAACCCTCAGTGTGTGCAAAACTGCATTTCCAAAATCGTCTATTTTCATTTGTAATACCTTCCGTTAAGATTTTAATTATTTTGGCAGTAACAAGTGGATTATAATGGCAAACACACAGGAACATTCAGCATGGTCTATGAATATCGGCATATGGATATATCGGTTCTCTGTAGCAAATGCCATTCCCTAAAGCATCAGATTCATGTTACTGTAGATGTTTATAGGTAGATCTTAATATCAATGAATCTGAGATTACTACATCACAGTGTTAAAACAGTCAGAGAAACTAATTCAGTATTTCTATTGTAAAGTCTTCATTTCAGAGATATATAGCCTGATCGAGTTACGGTAGGGGCTGTTGTCTCGGCAAAGAAATATAATATATGCTGCAGTCAATCGTAGGATGCAACTTCTTTGACCAGTAATGGCAGAGTGGGAAACTTTAAATGATTGAAGAAAATAATGAAATCCATCATTATGACATTTCTTGGTGAGTTCAGTTTGTGAAATCAATGTTTTGATTTGATCTTTAGGTACTGTTCTGTTGTTTAAAAGAAAAAAAATAGTTACAGAATTAATGAAGAAGACTGGTAAATCTGCTAATATAGAGTGAAGATTTTTAACAACTTCTTTCACTGACCATGTTTTCTGTTTTTGAGCAGCGTATGTTCTGCACTGACAGAAGTAAGCGTAATTTAATCACAAAGCCTATATTTCTAACTCTTTCTCCTAATTTTACTGTTAATGGAAATATATTTGTTGTTGCAGTAATATGCATGCTGAATATCAGTATTTAGGGACAATGGAATGAGTTGAGGGATTTACTGATTTACTCTGATTTTTTTTTTGCAGTGTTTATATAATAGAAATTAATATAGCATTAGAATTTCAGTCAGTCCAACCAGTGGCAGTGATTTATAACTGGAGTTTTAAATGAAATTGGGAATTAGGGGAGAAACATTATTTTCTAGTCAAGCCAAGGAGCTGTATTGTGGACAGAGGTATTTCTTTATGACTTATACCCAATCTGCTTGCATGAGGAACTCTAGTCCCAGTCAGTTTATAATTTTAGAAGTAATTGGCATTTAAATTCCTTTCCCTCTGTTAAAATAATGAGAAGAAAATGTAAAAGAAAACGATACTTCGACAATGTAGAGCCCAATAGATCCTCAGATTCCATGTAATTTAACAAGGTAATGAAAGTTCTCCCTTAACTGGATTTAAGAGAGAGCCCTTTCATTGAGTCTTTTGCTCTGTAGTGGTGCATTAAAATATTTAATGTCTCACCAGTAAGTGATGAGGGCATTCCTTTGCTGATGCATAATGAATACTGGGGCTTTCAACTGTCATTTACTGCCCGTCCTCCGAGAGTTGAGGAACGCGGAAGGAAGGGGACCAGCCTTATTAGTTGTCTTATTTAATGGTATTGACTGTTTCCACTGTAGTAATGCAGCCGGGTGGGCACGAGGTAGAGAGATTGCTAAACTGTGCCCCATGTTGCCACATCACCCAGCCCCGCTGCCTTTGCTCCCTGCGGGAGGCCTGTGCTGGATGAGGCAGGACTGAATCCCCCCCTTCCCGGTGGGAAGGTCTGTGCCAATATGTGCAAAGGGAAAGGGGAGAGATTAGCAATTATCCGACCTATACTGCTATCTAAACAGATATTCAGAGCAACTATCACAGAAGGATTTATTCAAAGATGTGGAAGTACAGCAAAGAGAAATAATACACGGTGTGGGTTTACCAAAGGCAGATCTTTCCAGTCTCACTTGATACCTGCCTTCAGAAATATCCGTTTCACAAGCAAGGGAAATGTATGGTTGGATTTCAGATGAACATCAGATCGGGTGCCACACAAAAATTAGTTAAATTACACAGATTAGGCCAAGAACTGTGAGATGGTAATGCATTAGTTAAAGAGAAGGAAAACGTTATGGTTAAAAGGAAATGTTGAACCAAAGAATCTGCCAAGGATTAATTTTGGTATCAATTTTACATATATTTCCCATTACTGTATTTCAGGGATTGCCGTTCTGAAGTTTGCTGGTAATGCAAACAGTATGGGCATTGTAATGCAGTTTGGATTATCAACTGTAAGAACTGGATGGCTTTTACGTAGCAATAACAGTTGGTAGTAGTAGCAGAAATGGGATGAGATTTGCTAAGAATTGCGAGATCATACAAATAGTAATCAATACTGTTTTCAATGTAAGGAAAAAATATGAATTGGAAATAAGTGTAAAAAGATCTGATTATTTTATTGATCACTGGGGAAGAAAACCTCATAGGTACTGCAGGTATTGGAAAAAAGAAGTTGAATGCAGTTTGAGAATAAACCGACCAACTTCAGACTTTTAAAGCCATTGAAGTACTCATCTGTTCCTCTAAAATAGTGTGTGCAGTTCTGGAAGAGGCAGTAGATGTAGACAGAGAACTTCTCCAAAGAGAAAATATTACAATTAAATGACTGGAAAGGGAGAAGACCTGTTTTATTTTTGCTCTTGGTAAAGATTAAACTGGCAAAAAGTGTCTGTGAAGGAAGAAATTGAAAATGGAAGAGGGATTTCTAATCTTCAGAGGAGCGAGGTAAGAAAATCCTCCTACAGTTTGTTCAGTCCTTACAGATGCAAAGAAAATGGAGTGTCTGCTGGGTGCAAGTCCAAGTATGTTCATACAGGTGACCCGGAGGTGCCGTTCAAGTTCCTTAAAATGTGATTAATGATTCTGCATTTGTGAGGTGGAGAGAGAAGAGGTTTAGTATCCTGGAAAACAAGCAAGGCCAGTAACATTCATCGGCAGTGGTTAAGGAAAATAAGTAATGTGCTGTTGAGCCAGAGGAATTATCCTGTTGAAGTCACGGAAAAGAAAGGAAATGAGGATTGATAGAGTGAGAGGCTGTACTTAATATGATATCAGTATTCAAGACAAGAGTAAAAAAAAAAAAGATGCTCATAGGTTAGCTTAACTTACATTCTTTAGTAAAATTATGTGAAACATTTATGAGAAAAAATAATCCAGGGATTGTGCATAATGGAAATATACATATATATATATAAAGCAGGGAGTGAATGGTGCTGAACTGATAGTACTGAACTAATGTTTTATGCTCACGAAAACAGGTAAAGTAATAAGAAAAAGTGACATGAAGGACAGAAATACGGACAGGGTGGAAAATGTGGTTTTTATTAAGAAAATTTTAGAGGCTATCCTGTGGAAAACCAGTGAGAAAACTCAAGATATCACAGTATTCTCAGGCAAACATTGCTTGCAGTGTTGCAGACGTTGCAGACATTTGCAGCACCCTGTCCTTGGCAAAGTAGAGTCAGGGAAGGTCAGATGCAGCCAGGCCTGCATTAAGCACAACTTGCCCAGAAATCGCTGGTGAAACTGTCCTTGGCTCTCGTGGTCAGTCTTGGCTCTCAGGAGTCGTGCTTAGGAAGGAAGAGACAGTTACTACCACAGCGTGCTGGACAGGAAGAAGTGAAATGTGTGTTCAGACGAATAGCGACGTGTTACCTAGAGTGTGGGAACAGCAGCAGCCTGCGTGGTCAGACATGGACAGACAGCGCAGCCCGTAAGTGTCTGAAACTGGGGTGGCCAAATAGTGCCGAAATACAGAAAGAAAACAGATGCCTACCAAAAGGGGGGAGACATAAAGAAAAAGCTAAAATCACTATTAATTTCTTTTTTTTTGTTAACAATTGATTTAAGGAAGGTATTGGGAAAGAAGGGAAAATACTACACTGAGACCCAGCAAATACTGAATTTCATGTCCTTCTTTTTTCACTCATAACATTTCAAAAAACTTCTCTTTGTGCACTGAAATATTCCAGGCTTGGTCTTTGCTGACAGTTTGACTAAAATCAATTCAGCCATTTCTGAATTCCATGAGTCAGAAAAAATAGTGCTCCTTTTGGAGAGCACGGAGTACATTCTCTTTGATCAAGATTCTGGTTTTGTTTGTTTTTGTTTTTTTCCTTTTCTAAAAGCAACACAGACTTCAGCTTGTGATATGATAACACTCTCTATTTCACAGCCCATCTAGGACACAAGTAAAAAGAAGGAAAATTTGTGAAATGGTACTTACAGACCATTTAAAAATCACCTGGAAGTATACCACTATTTAAGAAAATCTTCACCAAACAAGGCTCCCCTAACCGTTGCAAGGTGGATTTTTTTCCCCTATGCATTCCAACCAGAACTAGCACTAGAGACATGTTATATCTGCTTATTCCAAAATGTTGTCTTTCATTTTATGAGCAGCAGCAGAATAAGATGGCTGAGAGAAAGAAAGATCCTGTTACAAAGAAAATAACTTTTATTATCATTACATTGCACAACATGGTTTCTAGGGAAAGCATTTTTTTATTATTAATTTTCATTCTATGTAATTTTGTTTTTAAGGATAAAGAAATACCAGCATAGGCAAGCAATCTGGTCCTATGCAGAAATCACATGCCTAAACTGTTCCACCCAAGAGCATGAAGAATAAGTGTCATATTGCCATTAGAGCAGTTAACAAGACTTGTTTGTATACCACATTTTCTTCCCATGACGTGACTGGTTTATAGTTGCTTTGTAGTAAGGATGCTGCATTTTACTTGTGTGGCATGGGAGAGGGGTATGGCTATACCAAGGCAGGCTAGAACTGATCCCACCAACGTAATTCAGCTGAGTTATGATGGTCCCTATGTCTTTGCATATGGCTTCTCGAGCCTTAATTTTGGGGCTAAAATGTTCAAAAGAGGCCACAGACCCAACAAAGTGCCCTTGCAGGTTGCTATAGCCGGCCTATATTGTCCCCTCTGAAATGTAAGGTTGCTGTAAGCAGAAGGAATTGATGTGTTGGGCTCTTCTGCAGCATCAATTATTTCCTCATTATTTCTTAAATCTTCAAATGCCATTACTGATGTCATCTGTAATGTTATATCACGGTGTTATTTTGTCCTGTGTTGAGAGGTTTCTGCTGAGTTCTTCAAGAGCTTTTTTTGGGAGCTGCTCTCCTAGTTCTGTATAAAAATAGAAAATAGAAGCAAATCGTATGTTCAAATCAATATTTCTCCAGAGAGATATGCAAAGATCCCTTCCCATACATATGAAGTACCTATGCAAAGTACAGTAGGCAGCCTGTGGGTTTTCTGGATGAGCGTTTTGCAGGGTGGAATTTATTGACTTAGCATTTCAGTTTTTAAGCTTTTGGACAAAAGCCTTATTGCAGTGAGGAAGATAAGCATGTGTATAATGGTCCAAAAGTTGTTCTCAGTTACTTCAGCTAGTGGTTACTTCACTGACATCAATCAGCAAATGAAGGCAAAACTTGATCTTGAAAAAGAAGTAAGTAGTGTTAATAGCAAGAATGATTTTTTTGTTACAGCCAAATTATAATTTTATCAGTTACTATCTAGTATGTGTTATATGACATTAGTTACAAACTAATAGCATCTCCGTGACACATTGATAGACCAACAGGAAGCAATTGCTGCAACAAGGCTTTGGTGTATTTATCAACTGCTGTATATTACACACTCCAAATTGCACGAAAAAAAATGGAGATCTCTTATAACACACGTTTTGGAGAGGGATTTACATTTAATAAATGTTTACAAGTATTTTCATAAACTCAGCTTATGACAGTGTTGGCTTCCTATGATTGATGACTCAAATGTTGCCTTTCCTCAAATATAGATCGTGCAGTTGTCTCTAGGAGTTATTTATATTTCCTAGTATTTACGATCTGCGAGGCAGCTTAGTTATTAACATTAGTTATAGCTATTTCTGTAGATATTTATCTGAACCACAAGTTTTTGACACATTTCTTTTTCTTTAACAAGCAAAGCATATCTACAGCTATAAAAATGTTCTGTGATACGGAAAAATATATGTATGATACAGCTCTTACCTAGAAATTCTCCAGTGAAGATGTGTTTTTGATTTTCTGTAGAGAACATTGTAGGTACATTGCAAACAAAATACCACAATAGTAACATTAAAGGAAAATTAATTCAATTTATTTTCTGTTAATAAAGAAATTGTTATACAGATAGTCTGCCCCAGCTGTACCTCACTGGCTTCTATGGGGTGGCAGAGAATTGGCAAGTGTTTTACTGGAAATCATTTACTCTTCAGTAATGTTTTTAGCATATTATTAAGCTTAGCTGATGTGAACTGAGTTATTTAGATGAGTAGTGTGCGTGACGTGGTAGTTTCGATGTTTAAGCTGTAATAATAATCTTGGGAGATTCGAACTAAGAGTCAGGTCTTCCCTGGACGTGGCGCAAGGGCAGCGAGCGGGTGCGGTGCGCGGCGGCTGGCCCTAGTGACCAAGATTAATGAAACTCACATGGGTTTTAATTAGTGCAGCTGCAGTCATCAATTATCTAGAGAACACAAATATTGTTATATTTTTGGAAATTCTTGATTTATTTTATTCCATTGGCCAGCAGATTTAGATGAATGAGTTCTCATCATAAACATTCTGAGAAAAACCGCCCGAGGCCGTGGGTTATTATTTAGGACACAATCAGTAAGAGTGAGCGCTACTGAACAAAACATTGTAAACTGGTCTCAGTATTAATTTGGAAAATTTGCTGAAATGTGTGGCCTTGTATGGGTCGTCAAAAACATTAGGGCATCGCAAGCAAAATACAGAACAATCTGTCAGGCGGGGAATGTGCAAGTATTATTGTCCAGCAGCTGATCCATAACAGAATGTCAGTGCATGTACACTTAAAGCAAGTATCAACAACATTTAATTTGACACATAATGTGGTCTTCTTTTATTATCCTTTAAGTGCACGTCTTAGTACGCTGAAGACTGGACAAGTAAGAAGGGGGAAAAGAGCTGAAACATGACAACCCTTTGCAAGTCTGAAAAAAACCACAATCTAGAGCTTTTCAGAAGGTATATGTGTTTTTGAGGCAACTCTTTAAAATGCAGGCAGGGAAAAAGAGAGCAGGAAGAATAAGGAAACTTGCTCAAAAATTCTATTCCAGAAATTTCATTTGCAAGTTGTTCCTCCTAGTGCAGGCTAAAACTTGCGTGCGAGCATTTACAAATAAACAAATGGAAGTGTTAGCTGCTAAGAACAACATCAGCACCAGGCATTTAAATTCAGAAAGGATGCAACTATA